GTTCATCCAGCCCTCCACACCACGGGGTCCTGTTCAACCACCCGCCACGGGCACCCCTCCACCATCTGCTGTTCATCCAGCCTTCCACACCACGGGGTCCTGTTCAACCACCCTTCCACGGGCACCCCTCCATCGTCTACTGTTCATCCAGGCCTCCACCACACCACGGGGTCCTGTTCATTCAGAGGCAACGCCACCGCTCACTGTTCATCCACCCCCCCCGGCAACGCTCACTGTTCATCCCATAGGCAGCATCGATCGGGTTCAGTTAGTAGCAGTAGCGAAGGAATCGCTCGATCGGGTTCAGTTAACAGCCATCGATCGATCGCCCGGGTTCAGTAACGCGTAGCCTGCAGTGCAATCGCTCGGGTACAGTTAGAGTCCAACGCCTCGCTCGGGTTCAGTTAGAGCCAACGCCTCGCACACACGCGCATACGTGTACGAGAGAAACGCGCATCGCTCGACCCCCGACCTCCCACCGTAACCGGGAACTCCCCGAAATTTTCCTCCCCCTCGCTTCTATCACGGTTTTTTCCGTCATGGACAGCCCAAAGAATGTCATGCAGCTGCGTCTCCGGCCTGCCCAGGACGAAAAGCCCATTTTCTGTCATGATTTTTTGTCATAGAAGTAGGAGCCCACCACATCTATGATGATACCGGGTTTTGTCACAATTATCGTCATAAAAGTGTCATATGTATGACAGAAAAAAAATCGTTCGGCCCAAAATGTCACGGATGTGTCTTTTTTTTGTAGTGCGGGGGAAAGGAGACTTAAAATGATATTATGCGTACCATCAATATTAATCGTGTGGGCATCAGGCTCCAGTATTCCATATGGATCTTCGCCGTGGTTGTTGCCTGATAACATTTCATATGAGAAAAATGAGTAAGAATCAGAGATGAATTAAAGTTATGAACCAGGTGTTAGTAACAAATACCAATTAGATTTTGAGTGGCATGACCCGCATCAGGGATCGTTTTCATTCCTGGACTATTGTAAGTTGGCTGGATCAGTATAGGTTGTTTGCTTCCATAAATAGACTTTGTATCTGAATGAACAAAAGAGGTCCCAAATACATAAGAAATAAACACTCTTGACATTATTGTAGCATAAATACATTTCAATGAACTAACCATTTTTTTGTGAAGACTCCTCTGGGTTACGTAGGTTCACGATTGTACTGAGTTGGGGGTTCTCCTCCCCTGACATTTGGGTGAATGGCAATCGTCGTGAATGTTGCTGAATCTGGTACGCATCATTTCTGTGCAACCAATCGGTCTCATTGTCATAATAAATATTCTCGTTGAGCTGCATCGAATTTGGTCTAGGCTCTTCTGCACATGTTATGATCTGCAGTTGTGTGACTGCCGTTTGTCCGGTAGCTCGCACCTGTGAGACAATGTTACTGCCATCGGCGACGGCAGCAATATGCTTATTATGCTCACTGGATTTGGGTTGTCCCTTTAATAGTTCCTCTGTATTGTGTGCATACTGCTCTCTTTCCCCCGTATCTCCAGCCCATTATGGTCTAAACAGACAAAGAGTATATCATTATATGTCAATACCATTGGGCTATACATCACCAAAGTCGACAGCCATTACCTTGTGATACAGCCGACAGACAAAGAGTATATCATTATATGTCAATACCATTGGGCTATACATCACCAAAGTCGACAGTCATTACCTTGTGATACAGCCGACTGTGTGTGTTTCGTTTTCCAGGCCATTGACGTCTGTTGTGCCATTTTTTTGTAGGCTTCACACCTTCTCTTATTTATCTCATCCCTATTTTGTGCATACCGCTCTCTTTCCCTGTGCCTTTTTTATCTCTTTACGCTCTGCAAGTCATGACACAGTTCAGCAGCTGAGCAAAAAAAAAAAGAAATCGAGTGATTGGGTTAAGTACCCAAGGAGTGGGTGTTGCTTATATCCTGGAACGGTGTGCGCGCCCCGTTGGGAGTGGTAGGGGCCATACGAAGTTCTTCAACCCTGTGAATAGCAAATTGTTATAATACAATTATATTTGAAGTGGCATCTGACTAAGGATTTTCAGATCTCAAAGTAATGACTATTTCTGGAAGTTCTGACTAATTTTCTTATGAAATTCATCTTCAGCAGTTACAGGGATGAGTTACTTTTCATAGGTGCATCATTATTCGTCTGCAATTTACAGAGAGTCAAACAAATCTGGGATATAACAATGATTCTTCATTGCTTTCATGTGTTGGTTAAATTACAGACTGGCAGCCGCTGATGTATTCTAGTATATATCGAAGGATAGAAACAAGAGGAAACGAGGGCGCACCTACGTTGCAGAGGAGTTCGTGGACGGTGACGCCGTCGTATGAGCTCAACGGCGATAAGGCAGGACAGCCTGGGCGGCGGCGTCTTAAAGCGTCACCAAGCCTGGACGGAGGCGACATATAAAAGCCTCACAAAGTCGAGAAGAGCATAGACCTGTGATGGCGAAGTACTCGTCGTCGCGTCCGTCGTCGGGTGCCTTGCCGGCTGCGTAGGGCATAGGTCAATCTGGATGCCTGGAGGGCCGGTACAGGTTTTTTTTGTTTCTGTGCAGTTGAACAACCCATCCGGAGATTACGTGATGTTTCCCTTGTAAGCCTTGATTTTTCCTAGGTGGACTAAAAGTTTTTCACGGAACATGGGAGGGCGGTTTTCGTCTGCCCTTGTTGGTGAATAATGATGCACCTATGAAAAGTAACTCATCCCTGTAACTGCGAATCTCTGGCCCCATGCTTTCATTTGATTTGTATTAGGCCCCACATTATTTTTGGTTTTATTTATACCCAAGCACATTAAATTAATTGAGTTATTTTCATAATACATTTTATACAGAAATATCGTGTTAAGCTCATTGGAACATTTCTTAGATTTTGTGTATTCTTTCCTTTACCATTTTGTACAGACAAAGCTTAAACCTTTCTGTAAAGAAATATAATTCTTGTGTCCTTTCTCTTGCCAGTTTATTGTACCATCAGTGGTCGTGCTAGATAGGAGGGGAGGAAGTGCTTTTAGTTATGAGTTTGCTAACCCGGCGGAATCTAATATACTTCCAATCGTTTTGTCCATCCTTTCACTAGAACAAGCTCAAAATCCCCGCAATTTTTTTTGCTCGAATTGTTTCAGTAATGTGTCAAGTGTTTTCATAAGCATTTAAAATCGATGTTTTGTTCAAATGGAAAATGCCCCCAATCTCTTCTGGATGGTGGATGATTGTTTGCAAAGCATGTAGACACGAGCGAAGGAAAGTGAGAAGTCTCGTCTGGTGAATATGGAAGGAAATGGACCGTGGCAAATCATGCTTTACTAGCCAAAATACCCCCATAAAAAGTAGAGTATGGAATAAGATTTTGAGTAAACGATTCCATATGTGAAGGATTATCCTAAAAATGGTAATTCATGATGGAAAGAGTGAATAAAAATGCATGACATTTTTATTTAATTTTCAGGGGAAAATATTAATTTGATGAAAAATGGTACTCCCTCTAATCTAATAGAAAAAATGTGTCGTGCTTTTTTTGGATCGGATGGACTATCTTCTTTTGAGACAAAGCATTTGCTTTTTTAGGTGAGAGAAAATCCATATAACCTTTTTTAATTTTTCTAGGGGTTATGTAACCTTTTTTTAAAAAAATTAAGGGGTATATAACCTTTTCAATTAAGGGAGAGAAAATGGATGGCCAAGAAAATAAAGAAGTCCCAGTGCGGCGTTCCCAAAGCCCAGTCCAGCCCAGCTCGCTTACCTGAGCTTTCAGTTTCAGCGTAGGCCTCTCCTATCCTCTCCTTCTTGACCGCCGTAAAAATTTCGCTAGCCCTAACCCTCCTCCGCCTCCCCCTCACCCCCTGCCCCCGACCGCGCCGCCTCCGCCTCTGCCGCCGCGGCATATCCAGCCTTCTGCGGCGACCTCCGAGTGTCTCATACGCTCTAGATCCGTCGACCTGAACCAATTGTAAGCAGTTTAAGACTCGAGTCCTCCAGTATTTTGTCAACGTGTTGCTAAGTCGACCGGGCTTTTAGTCGTGCCTGCTTGCATTGATTTCCTTGCCTCGATGTAGCTGTCCTATTGTTTGCCGTCCCTGCTGGCATCTTGCTTTCACCTGATTTTGCTTTTTCTAAATCTTCTTATACTTATATATCACGATGTTTGCCATGTTTTCATTCTGATGGAATGGGGGGATTAAATCTTTACAAAGTTTTGTAGAAAACAACGCAGAGCGAAATCTGCTGCATCCGTAGCCTGGTGGTTGCTAATCTTGTAGTGTTATAGTAAGATGGTATTGCAGCAGATTCTGTAGTTCAAGTCGAAATATATAAACTACTACTCCCTCCATTCGGAATTACTTGTCGCAGAAATAGATGTATCTAGATGTATTTTTAATTCTAGATACATCCATATTCGAGACAAGTAATTCCGAACGGAGGGAGTACTTAGTAAGAATTCCGTGGGTAGACAGCGAAACTGATAACTGGTTTTATGGCTGGGGCTCTTGATGAATTAAATCTCATATGCATTTCTTCTTTTCTTTTGCTGTTAATGTACAGATTCGTGTGAGGCACTGCAGAATATAAACTAAAAAGTCTTACCATGGCTCAGGTGAATATATTGTCATTTTCTCTCCTTTTTTTTGTATGTTTTTCTTTCAGTCAGTTCTCTTACCATGAAAGCTAATGTCTAACAACCGTTTTTATGTTTTAGGATGCTGTTGCACTTAATGGACTAAATGGCGACCGTCATAGGCAGTTTCGTAGGTCTGTGATACCGATTCTTATGTATAATCGGGAAGGTGAAAATCCAAATAAACCAATTTCTGTTATTTCGGGCATAGTCACGGTCTCTGGTGGAGGGTTTTGCCACATAATAGCATACAAGGGGTTACTTTTTCCCCCAGAGGCACACAAGTACAGATATGAAATTGTTTTTCCCAATGATATGAGGGTAGACCTTGAACACCTCGGCGTGGAAAGACATGGTCTTTTGGCTGGTTTCTATTGTCATGTTCCTGTTGAAACTGTAGATGCTGTCCACTTTGGTATTCAAACTACGAGGAACCAAGAACTTAAGATGTATGGATATCAGGTTGATAATGTATCAGGGCGATTACAAAATGATCTAACTGATGGCTATCTGACGTAAGTTTTTTGCACAATGTAATTGAATTGTCAATGTTTTGTTTTTGTTTCTATTCTAATATTTCTGTAAATAGTCATGTAGAGGAACAATATCAAGAGTTCAGACATGATTGTACACCTTCATTTTTTTCTCGAAGAGGATCACCTGTTTTCAATGAGCAAAGGCAACTCGTCGGTATATCTTTTAAGGATATTGGTGTAAAGCCTTGGATATTGGGTATATAACTGCCATTCTTCCAAGATTTTGTGGAGGAGACGATAACATGGTAATGTGTTTTCTGGTATCATTATAATGTAATCTTATGTTGTTTGCAATCCTTATTCTTTTTTGTTTATGTTTTGTTTAGCCTATGTCAGATGTCTTAGAACGTATTAGACTTCTTGGAGAGCAAAAATTTGCTATGCCTGAGGATCTGGAGCCTTCTCCTTCTCCCTGAGAATCATATGGCTTGATGGTAGGCATACCACTCTCATTCTGGCATGCATAATCTCTGCCGATTGCCTTATTTTGACATTGCGTAATCATCATTTTGTAGGGCTGCTGTGTGAACTTTGAAGGAAGGCAAGGTGGCCAGAGGATTGTTGTTGGTTTCTTACGTAGCTCTAGCTTCTCCTTGACTGTTTCTAGTAGTCTAGCCGTTTGAACTGTATGTTGCATTTGGTTGGTGTTGTTTCACCGCAAGCTCCTTCACTATATGTAACTATGTGCTCTGCTGTGGTCCAAACTTATGTAGTAGCAGGGCATTATTGTGAAGTGAGATTATCCAATCAAGTTGAGCTATGATCCAGCTTCTCCTCTCCTTCTGATCCATTTATAGTTTTGTGGTTGTTTCCTTTCCCACTTATGTGGATGTCTGAATTCTCTGTCATTCTACATACCTGGTTAGCTATAGGCTTTCCATTCCACATTGTGCTGGTGAAGAAAAAGACTGAAAATAGACATAGACATGAGACACACATGACCATATAATTTAGCTGGCATGTTGAGCTGACTTGGGCAATTAGTGGTTTGGCTGTGAGTCGGTGTGACTGAATGCATAGTTCTGTCAGAGTAAGTGCAGAACCAGTGCTCTAGATTGTCAGATCTGATGTCATTATCATAGATGCTGAAGAAGTGTGGAGAATTCTTTGAGTTGCAGTTCAGATGATATTGTCGCCGAAATGGATGTTACTCAAAACATGTTATCCACCCTGAATACAGAGCTATCTTCAGGGTTCCATTATCATTGAAAACGAGGCTGACACCACAATAGTAGTCTTCAAATACGAGAGGCTGACACCACAATAGTAGTCTTCAAATACGAAAAACGAGTTAAAGCTCCAAAAATATACTAACAGCAAATAACAGAGCATATACTAGCATTAAAGAATTCTCCAAGTGGCATCAAACCTCGCGCAAAGAAACAGAGCGCACGCTAATCGACTGGGTGTCGCGTGAAGTTAGAGAGGTGCTGATTAGGCGGTGATCACCAGATACGTAACGAAAATTCCAAAAGTAAAATATTTCTTGTTCCATTCATGTGATAAGAAACACAGCAGGCATACATAGAAAAGAATTAGGCAAATAGAGTAGGTCGGCGTGTGGGGCAGATGAAGAAACTGTCTTCCATCCTTTGTCTACACTCCCAGGGTGTCAGATATTTCTGCCAAGCGATCACCCCTAAGGCCTTGTACAATGCAATGCACTTAGGGGAGATGCTTGAAAAAATAAACCGGTTGTTCTTAAGCACCGGTGCTTATTTATAGAGAATCGACGCTTAATTAGACACCTCTCCTATAAAGATAAGCACCGATGCTTGAGAAAAAAATCGGTTTATTTAACTAAGCACCTTCACTTAAGCACCTTGCATTGTTCAAGGCCTAACTAGCGCATCCACGAACTTGCCCATGCAACACAAGCAAAGGAAAATTCCAAAAAAAAAAAGGAAAGGCAGACAGACGGCCATCATGCAGCTGACAAAGCAACCAACCAAAATGAACAAGAGCTGCACCAAAGTGCTTAAAAGTTAATGCTGATGAAGCCTATTTGGATCCATGTTTGAGCACAGCAGAATGGAGCTACCGTCTCCTGCTACTCAACTTAGCCTCCAAAAGAATCCGATTGCCAGGATATGCAAATCATCAACCTAGTATTTGGGATCAGACTTGTGCCTTAAAATCACAACCACAGCTGCAAACAAACTTGGTACCAAAAAATACGACAGTCTCCCCAACCCATCTCTTAACGGCTCTAGTTCAGACTAAGTACGTTCGTAAGCTAGTATCTCAGGCTTCAGATTAGGCAAGTTACAAACACTTCATACTTGCTAGACAGAATCGGCTTGTGCTTCAACTGGATCAGCAGCTTGAGGACAAGATAGGGGCACTATGCATCCAGATGCACTTCATCAGGTTAGAATTGTTGCCGCTGCCGATGATATATAATTTCTTCTTCCACATCTATTTCTTCCTCAATCTCGTGCCACTTCGGATAGCACCAAAATGACTTAGGCACGGGCCATCTGTCCAGAGTAAAACATAAATAAGCTG